CTATATATTGTTATTAAATTGGTATATATTATATTTTACTTCACAATTTCCCTGGCATCTTTCATCCTCACAGCTGCTCCTGGGGTGAAGTATGTTGGGGTTGGTGGGGGTTCTGTGGCTAATGGCCTATGTAGGGAAAAAAAGATTAGAGAAATCCATAGAAACCAATATTGTCGTGATTGATGATAGTGGTATCAAGACTGAAAGAAATTATTTATTGTAGGAGTTCCATATTTAACGTCAGTCTAGGTTATATTTATAAATATTTTTTGCATGATTTAATTAAGTTTTACATTGGAGGAAAAAAATACATAAAGATCAATGATTTCACATCAAAATGAGCTGTTGGTATTCTAATTTTGAAATTAATGATAGAGACATTTGAGACAAAAAGATGTAAAAATTATATTTGTGTGACTTCATATATTTTTGTGAAACTATTCACAAACAATACCATCTTTTGAATAACTACCAAAAGGACATAGCTGCCTAAATTATGTTATGCATTTGAAGATTGATAATATAGTCAGCTATTTGAAATGATACTCTTAGTGACAGTTATTTTGACAAAAGTCATTGAACTGCCACCATGTATATTCTTTCAAGATAGAACCTATACATATCCATAATAATTTTCACAAGACAGACTAGTCCAAGTTCATTCTTGCCACAGTATACATATTGGAAACTATTGGCATTTGTCTGCATGTGAGGCACAGAGACTACAGCAAATGTTTGATGTCCTCTGGTGGATAGGCACTTCCATTTCCATATGTTCCTTACAATATTGGTATTCTTAAAAGGTTTTCAAGTTACTGTTATTAGTATATAACTGTTTTATTTTGACTGTCTATTCAGTTAGAAAACTGATAATCATAGATGGTTTGAAATTGAGGAAATATAAGGGAACTAGTTTGTCTCTCTTACTATAACAGTATGTCGGGTATGTATGTACTTGAATACATAAATGTCCTATTTTAGAATATGAGTTCAAAACTTAATAAAGTTGATACTAGCATATATTTAAGATACTTTATTTTTCATTTGATATGCAGTAATTTAGCTATTAGTTTCTATGCATACATACATATTCTGGTATATATGTGAATTATCAGAGTAGAATAGAATATATTTGTGTGATATTTTGGGAATTGGATATCTATCTATTTAGGCTGATACAATTTTTTATGTAGAAAATAAAGAAGGAAAGGGGATATATATAATATATATATATATATATATATATATATATATATATATATAATATATATATATATATATATATATATATATATTATATATATATTATATATATGTATATATATGTATATATATGTATATATATATATATATATATATATATATATATATATATATATTATATATATATATATATATATATATATATATATATATATATATATATATATATATTATGTGTTGTGTGTGTGTGTGTGTGTGTGTGTGTGTGTGTGTGTGTGTGTGTGTGTGTGTGTGTATTTATGTAGGAAAATTAGAACTTGCTAATGACTGGTATGTGTGGACAGACAAAAGAACTCCAAGTTTTGGATTATGAGCTTCAGCATTTGCAAGATAACAGAGTAAGTATTGGATTAATTGTTAAACTTGATTTTGAACTGAGCTGTAGTGTTCTTAATTGACATTTTATGATGCAGATATTTACTTTGTTGTTATATTAGAATGTTACGCATATAACATTTTCTTTCTTTTGTAACAAACATTGTGTTATTTTTTTCACTGAATACATTTTCAGTTGGGTATTGTGAATATAGAATGTCAGTTTCACATTTGTCGTGAATTTGCATCTTCATCAAATTTAAGAAGTTTCAATTAACATTCAGTGAATACAGTTCATGTGCTTGCATAATCTTTATCAGTGCTATTTCTGGATCAGGATATACAAGTTAAGATGGATAGGCCTGTAATGAAAGAGCAATTGTAATTATTTTTTCCATTGCTTATTAATTTTTCTTTCTCCTTTTTCAGAAGCTGTACCTAAATCAGCCAAACAGTAATCTGTATTTCCTCTGCAGTAAGGCTGAAGCTCTCAGCCATTTGGAAAAACAAAAGGAGAAGCTTTCAGAAATGAAAAAGAAAACTTAGAAAAAAAAATTGTTTCTTAGAATAGGATACACTCATTTGTAAATCTTGTGAATGTCCATGTTATTCAAGAAACATTTTTATTCTTAAAGTGTATTTTTATTTTTATTTTGTCTGTGTTAAGGTGAGAACAATTTTGAAGTTTGTGTACAAGTAAATTTGTGTGTTGGAATCATGGTTTAGAACTCATTTTGAAATTGTGTAATTATTTCACATGTATTGGTGCCGACTGTTTTACAAAACTAGATGTATGCTGAGAATAAACGTAATGAGTTATATTTAATTTCATTACTCATTGTATATCTGTATTCCTCTTTATCATTACTTGTGGGTAAGTGGGAAGCTGAATATATGCTAGTAGTCTTCAGAGTATTTTTAAATGAATGCTTCTCAAGTTATGGGTATTGCAAAATCAGCAAGGAAATTTAAAGGGTTATTATGAAATAATAGCAGGATTTTTTTCATTTTCAGAACCAAAAATGAAATTGGATATTCATCTCATTTGTATTTTTTTATGAGTTGGTACATGAATTATATATGGAAAAATATATCTCTTGAAGGCATTTGCTTGAATTTTCTTGTTCTAGTATTTTAAAATCTAATAACATCATCTTTTCCTAGAAACTTAGAACCGACAAATAGACCCATTTAACTTGATGAAATTGTTATTAGCATTCTTATAATAAAAAAATTGATGATAAAAGGACACAATGTCTTATTACATTAGTAGTAGTAGTATCATACGTATACTTTAAGGCTTATCAATTTTAAGAAATTATTGGTTATTTGAAAGACAGTGGAATGATATAGATAAATGAATCTTAAACATCCTTCTATTACTTGTTCTCTTGTTCACCCATTTCTGTGAGAGAAGACAATTATCACACATGCCGGAGGTTCCTCAATCTTGGAACAATATTGGTAAGTTTACAGAACATATTGAAATACTAAAATGTGGTTTGTTAAAAATTGCCACATGTAACAAATAAATTTAATTTGATGAATTGCGTAGACTATGTTATTTACTGAATGACATTTTGTATAACAATCAGGGTGGTTCCATGAAATAATACAATAACTACACAAGAGACATATGGAAGAAAATAATTTCTACTACTAGGTACTGAATTTAAAGTCAGAAAAATAATAGTATATGTACATCTACTCTAGACTTAAAAATCAATATATGAAAGGAGATCACATACAATACACGTGATATTTTCAGTGTGACATTGTACATGAAACAAAAATTTGACATGGAGTAAAAAAAATTATTCTATAAGTTTTTATATCATCTTAAACCTCCTGCTTTCTTTGTGGCATGCTAATTTACACACTATTTGATAGAATACAAAAAAAGAGTAAAGGAAATAGATACAAGTATAGAAATCAATAATGATAGAAAAAGTGTTGACGAGAATGCTAATTATGGTAGTAAACAAAAGTAAACCAAAGACAAAGATAATGAGGATAGATATGATATGTATTGTAATGAAAATATCACTGATACATATAACTATTGCAGTAATCCCATTTATAACATAAATGATAATACCAGTAACATAACCCAAAGTTCCAATAAGAATAACCAACTATTGTTCAGTAATAATTACCAAAGCATGAATGATGGTAATGATCCTCCTGCCATTTAACTGATGAGAATTATGTGCTTAATTGTAATATTATTGTTGCTGATGTTGCCTCTATTGATAATTCTGTCAATTTTATTATCATCATCATGTTCAAGAGAAATTATACCACTTCACATTATTCCATGAAAATAACTAGAGTAATAACACCATTATTAGTGAGTCAAAAAGTAACAAATGAAATTGTAATTATAATCAATGATAATGATAAGAATTGCAAACAATAATGATAATCTTAGTACCCCTGATGTAATAATAACAATGGTAATGATAGTGTTGATGATACTGATATTAATAATAGTGATGATAATAGTAAAATTACTAATGATGATGACAATAATAATGATGATAATGATGATATTAATAATGGTTAAAATGATTATCATAATGATGATAATATAGTAATGATAATGATGATAGTAAGGATAACAATGATACTAATAACAGCAGTAGCAATAGTAATAGCAATGATAATGATAAGAATAATAATATTGATAGCAAAGAATATAATGATAATAATTGTAATGGCAACAATAGTAACAATGAAAATGGTAGTAAAGGGAATAATGATAATGATAGTAAGGGGAAAATTGATAATTGTTATTGTCATCATAATGATCATAATGATAATTTTATTACTACTGTTACTAATGATGATATTAATGATAAGAATATTAGCAGTGTTTATGACAATAATGATAATATTAATGACAATGATGATCAACTGTGTTATTATCATTGGTATGTTATTTTAACCATCATAGAAATAAAGATGAATATTACTATTATCATTGTTGTTTATATTGAAATGTTATCAGCTTTTTTATCATTATTATCACATATTATTATTTAATTATGATTATTATCATCATTATAGATTTTTCCAATAACAGATGATAATGAAATGACAGTTGACACTAACAATACTAGCATGATTGAGAACAATCATTACTATCAAGATAATTATTTCCATTTTCATTATCATTATTATTATAATTATCATTATTTTTTTATTATTATCATTATTGTATTACTATTGTTAATGATACCATTTTTATTATTATTATTGATTCTATTAGCATTACTGTTAATGTCATTGTTATTATTATTATTCATTATTATTATTATTTTTGTTGTGGTTGTTGGGGGTGGTGCTGATGTTATTATTGTTGTTTTTTTATTGTTATCATTATTATTATCATCATCATTATCATGGATCATTAGTATTTTTATAAATATGATTAAGATGATGATGATCTTTACTATTATTATTATTATTATTATTATTATTATTATTATTATTATTATTATTATTATTATTATCATCATCACTATTATCATTATTAGCATTAGTATAATTATTTTTGTTATTATTATTAATATCATTATTATTATCAATATTATTCTTGTCATTGTTATTGTTATTGTCATCATCATGATCATTATTAATGTTCATATAATCGTTGTTGTTATTATTGTTATCATCATCATCATTATTATTATTATAAAAAATATTATTATAATTTTTATTGGTATGGTGATGATGATTATCATTGTAGTTATCACTATTATCATCATGATGATGATTATTGATATTAGTGTTTTTAGTATTATCATCAATATTATTATTGTTGTTGTTGCTGTTATTTTTATTATAATTATTATTTCTTTAATTATTTTGACTATTATTATCACTGTTATTATTATCATTACTATCATTGTTGTTATTGCTATTGATATTATTATTTCCACTATTATTAGTAGTAATAGTATGTTTGTGGTGGTTTTTTGTTATTTCCATTACTATTATTTTATTATTATTATCATTATTATTATTATTATTATTATTATTATTATTATTATCATTATTATTATCAATGGAGTTTTTTATTAGTAGTAGTAGTAATATTTTTATTTTTAAATTTTTACTATTATCATCATCATTGTCATTTTTGTATTATTATTATAAGTATTGTTTTTCTTATTTGTATTATTTTTGTTATTGTTCTTGTTTTAATTATATTTTTTTGTTATGCGTATCAGTATTATTATCATTATTGTTATGAATATTATTATTATTATTATTATTTAGTTTTTTTTTTATTATTATTATCATTATCATTATCACTACTATTATTATCATTTATTATTTTTTTTTTTTATTATTATAATAATAATAATAATTATTATTATTATTATGATTATTGTTATTGTTATTGTTATTGTTATTGTTATTATTATTATTATTATTATTATTATTATTATTATTATTATTATTATTATTATTATTATTATTATTATTATTATTATTGTTGGTGCCATTGTCAGAATCATATCATTAGTATTATTTTTATTATTATTATAATTATTTTTGTTATTGCTATTATTATTATTATAATTATTATAGTTGTTGTTATTGTTTTTAGTATTATGTATTATCTTATTATTATTGTTATTACTATTAGTATTTTTTTATTGTTATTATAATTATTGTTTTTCTTATTTGTATTATTTTTGTTATTGTTCTTGTTTTAATTATAATTTTTTTTTTGTTATGTGTATCAGTATTATTATCATTATTATTATGAATATTATTATTATTATTATTATTTACTTCTTTTTTTATCATAATTATCATTATCATTATCACTACTATTATTATCATTTATTATTATTATTATTATTATTATTATTATTATTATTATTATTATTATTATTATTATTATTATTATTATCATTATCATTATTATTGTTGGTGGCATTGTCAGAATCATATCATTAGTATTATTTTTATTATTATTATAATTATTTTTGGTATTGCTATTATTATTATTATAATTATTATAGTTGTTGTTATTGTTTTTAGTATTATGTATTATCTTATTATTATTGTTATTACTATTAGTATTTTTTTTTTCTTAATGCTATTTCTACTACTACTCCACTGCTGCTGCTGCTGCTGCTGCTGCTGCTACTGCTACTACTACTACTACTACTACGACTACTACTACTACTACTACTACTACTACTACTACTACTACTACTAATAATAATAATAATAATAATAATAATAATAATAATAATAACAATAATAATAATAATAATAATAATAATAATAATAATAATAATAATAATAATAATACAGCTACTACTACTGCTACTACAATCACTATTACTACTACTACTTTTATTATTATTGTACTCATCATTGTTACCATTAATACTATCATCAACATCATCATCGCGATCAATAATGATGTAGTGATAATGATGTAAAAAGAAAAAAGTCAATAGTATTGAAGTTCTTGACCGTAATGGCGACACTGACAATAGCGATGATAGTGATAATAATTGTAAAATTATTATTAATAAATTTTAATGAGATAACAAGTACAGCAGCCCTGGCAGCAGTATTGTAATAATAACCGATAATAATAAACCTCGTCAAAGACTAATTGTCATTAATAACAATAGTATCAAATGCATAATTTTCATAATAATAACAGTAATGGTAATATTGCTGTAGTAGGAATAACAGCGCACACAAAAATATTGTATTTATAATAAAAAATAATGTTTAGAGAAAATAAATTTAGGTTCGTTTTCCACACCCAAAACACACGTGAAGGGTTCAACTTGAACACGTTCAGGCTTTAGCATAGTCTAAAACCTTATAAGAGAAGAAAAAACACGCCGAAGACAGCGTAAAGTGAAGAATTATTGGATATAAGGATCATGTACGTATGAATTCAAGTGCATTTCTACCAGTGAGCTATCCAAGGTTATTATGTTGTTTATTACTGACGAGTATTGAATGAAGTAATGCTCAATCTTGCTTAATATTTATTGAATATGTCATGTTCATGTTCGAATTTTAGCGTTCGTTTATAAACTTAGAATAAGTACTATTCACAGAGACTTCGCGTTCGATGTTTAAATTGGTTACTAGTATCAATGGATTGCATATGAAGTATTAGTGATAGTTTTTTTTGTAAACCAATGTTACCATTGCGGTTGAATCATAATTTGGAGAGGATGAAATGGAATATACACAAGTCATCAGAGGGTAAACTTGACATAACTAATAACAATACTGAATTGTATGTGAGGACGACTTGTATGGGATTTTTTTTAAGCTCACCTGTGTTAACCCTACTTGTTGGCCATTATTGAAAGTACGGCAGATGCACACCCGAGATTGTAGTTTAAGGTCCTGGTTGCACACCTGAATGATTTACAGTAGTCAACGATCAAAATTATTGTTACAATGATATGGAACGAGGAATTTACTTAAGAGTTTAGAGGACTTTGAATCATTTTGCTATCTGAAAAGTTAAGGATGTGTACTCTTGAAGTGCACATTTGGTAACCATTGCACACTGCACACTTTCTTTTATTCACAGCCAAGGTCTTGTCGAAAAGATTATTTCAAATTTCAATGAGCAACAATAGACTGATTCAGTAACGCCTAGTAACCGCCCCTAGCAATGAGCACATGGTGAAAACAAACCCTCGTTCATTCGAAAACTCACTGCGCTTTGCTTACAGAGTCACTGAAATCTAGTTTCTAGAGAATCTAGTTTCTTTATGTGAAAATGCTAAGGAACTGTGTTGCTGTTGGTTGTTTGAACCACAACATGATGGGAAAGAAAGGTTTAACCATTCATATATACCCAGATCGCGAAAAGAAACTTGAAAAATGGAAGCGATGGGTACAGGCCATGAAACATGTGAATGCTGATGGGAGTGCTTGGGCGCTGGGTGGAAACTGTTTACATCTGCTCAGAACATTTTATTATATATTAATATTTTACACCTTTTCAAATTCTAGAGGCAGATGATAACTTTCAAACTCTATCGATATATACTATCTACCAAGGCCAAATAAGGTCAACATTGCCAACATTAGGTTTTGGCAGCAGTCATACACTCCAAAAAGCACAACAACAATTTTACATTTTTTCTGTAATTAATTGTTTTATCATATTTTTAATTTACAGGCAAACCATCCCCGGATCCAACTCACCCAAACTTTATCCCAAACACAGTCCTTTAGATAAAAACAAGGCAGGCATACTGTTATAAAAAAATTGAAATAGGAAGAAAAGAAGTCTAGCTAAGGAGATGCCAAGCATTTAGAAGAAACCAAAGTTTCCTGTTCCCTCTGTTTCTGAAAAGTCATATAATCCAGCAGATGAAACAACTGAAGAGGGTCCATCTCAAATTACTGAGGAAAGAGAAAAATGTGTTGTGCATTTGTAGGCCTTTATGTGACTTTATTGTCTCCTTTGTGTAAACCTTGTAAATAGGAAGAAAATTGATGTTAGGCAATGACATTGATTTCACATAAAAATGCCCTATATAGCTAAAAATCATAGATTACTGTAGCAAATTATGTTATCATAAAATCATTTTTATTACATGATGTGTTGATTAAATAGTCTTAGATGTTGGGATATTCAATATTTCATAGGTTTGTCGATCCCAGTTTCGGTAGGCAGACTGTATTAGGATTCTTGGAGCTGTGCAGCTTCTAGTTTTGATTCATATTGCTTTTTCGCTTCATTTTTTGAAGAATCTAAGTCTTCATACACCATTTTTGCTCGTGATGATGACGAGGTATCTGCAAGCGACCGATTTGTTTTCACCAAGTGGAATGATGACTCCGACTCGTAACGTCACACCAAATTGGTCTATATAGAGAGACAGCTGTCAAGCATGTCCATATTAACTGTGCTTATGGATGCTTTGGGAAACGCCAATATTATCTAGGTGTATCCATTACTCTGTCGAAATAGACAATGGACTTCGTCTTCATTTGCAGGGAATGTCTATGGGTATTAGCTAATTACCACCTTTATCATCAGTGAAGTTTTCATAGAGATTTACACTAAAGCTGCAATGATTATCCAGAATAGAGAAATATCAACCAGTGACAAGGTGTTCTTGCTTTTTAAAGGCATTCATGCCTTACCCTTTCAGTGAACACATGATTAGTCTACTGGTACATTACAGCTACTGGTATTGGAATTAGTGATGCAAAGCTTTTCTGAATAATTACTATTTGTGTAATTGGTAGATAATGATGTCCAACAAGATAAATAGTAAAAATAACTAGTTATTCACTCTCTTGAGTCCTAAGCACTAAGTAGAAACAAATAAATGCTGTACAGTATTAAGTTGAAGCAATGATATGATTTTTTTCCGCCATGTTCATCCTGTATATTGTA